AGGTGGGACTTGGATCACAGGATGTTTTGAAGCAGGAGAGAGGAGGACTTCTTTGGACAACAATAAGGATAGGGAAGCAAGATCTCAAGAAGCATGGATGGCACCATAGGAGAAAGATTGGGCAGGGACAGAGTGAGCTGTGCTCATATTTTTCCCAAAGAAGCCTCACAGACCCCATATGGTAGAGAAGAGAGTTGGACTGGGGCCCAAGAAGGGAGAAGGGAGTGGAGGAAGCTGATCTGGGAGGAGGACAGTGGGGTCATATTTGTCCTGCATCCACCATTCCTCTGAAATCAAATTCCCATTTATCACAGACTTAAAACTAACTGGAATTTTGGAGAAGAGATTTGTCTCCATAGCACAAAAGAACTAGCAATGACCTGACCCCAGTCTTTCATTCATATAGGAAGTGGGACCCCACATGGAAATTTATCCTCCAACTCTAGATTCAAACTCTCCTCTTGTGGTGTGGGAGCTCACAGCTCCATCCTCAGACATGACAGTTCTCTGAGGAAAGCAGGGGTGTGGTCCAGAAGATGAGACTACGGAGTCTTCTCCTGTGCCTGGTGACAGGTCCCCATGGTGTGTCCTCACTGTGAGACAAGGGTCCACGGGACAGTGATGAAATCAGGTGACTGACAGGAAGGTTTTCACTGTCCCCAGATGTCCTGTCTGGGGTGCAGCTGCAAGAGTCAGGCTCTGACCTGGCAAAGCCCTGTCAGACCCTGTCCCTCACCTCCATGGTCTCTGGATTAGCTATCATAATGGGTGGTTATGAACAGCACTGGATCTGTCAGCCACCAGGAAAGAGCCTGAAGTCGATGGGGGTAACATATTATAGTGGTAGCACTAGCTACAGCTCCTCCCTCAAGAGCCGCATCTCCATTTCCAGAGACATGGACAAGAACTAGTTCTCTCTTCAGCTGAATTCTGTTATTGTGAAGGACACAGCCATGTATTACTGTGGAGAAAACACAGTGATTTGGTACAAATGTGAGCCCAGACATAAACCTTCCTGCAGGGAAACTCAGGACCAGCAGGGCATGCTCTGCACACACTGGTGTAGGGAGCTAAATTCAGAGCAGATGTAGAGAAAAGCCTGGAGGGTTTTCTCTTCAGGTGATTAACATCTCAATCTGGAGCCCAGGCACAGAGATTCCAGGGCTCTTTTATGTCTCTAATCCTACAGTATTATGCTTTCAAGGAATCAGGTTTTACTTCTTCCCCATCAATTTCATCATGGATTACATAATCATTTTTTCAGTGAAACAGTTTAGAACTCATTTGACTACACAGTATCATTAGATTTTAGGTGAAGAAATATTTAATCATGAAAACTATTTGCCTTTTGACTGAAAGTCTGCCTTCCATCCTCACATGAATCTGCAGGGCATCTCATTCTGAAGGACACTTCCCAATTCTTATTCCTGCAAAGCTTATTCCTCTGAATGGCTGAACATCAGTCTATATGTTCATCTGAGTTATCAGCTGTTATGGGAGCTGTTCAGTTCTCCACCCCTGAGCACGTAGCCCAATGCCTTGGACGGCTCCTGTAGATTCCATTGTGCAGGGGCCATTCTCAGCATCTCCTTGGTAGAGACCATCGATGCTGTCACACATCTTACTATACTACAGAACAGGTTAAGGAATTATTTATCTGCACCTAGCGTCAGTAGTGCTGAGCCTCAGAAACTGATGAAATGTCTGAAACATCTTGTCAGACTCTATTGCAAAGTGAATTTGCTGTATTTACATTACCTTCAATAGAATTTGGATATCTACAAAAGCTAACTTCAGGTTGATTGGAGGTAATGGTGTCTATTTCTTGCACATCTGCCAGTTGACCTGAGGACACTGAGTGACCTGACCATGGATCCATGAAAGAACAAGGTATCCATAGCCATCTCAAGACCAGAGAGAAGGCCAAGATTTGCCCAGATCAGAGCATGGACGTCAGCTCTCTCTGTGCTCTCCCAAGTCCTTGAGGACAAGGCTGGGACAGGATGGACCCTGACTCTCACCTGGTGTCAAATGATTGAGAGCCTGGGGAGTGCAGGCATTGGGGCCATTGGAAATGTTGAGAAGATTCCCTAACAGGCTGAGAACAAGATATAATCCACAAGAACATTTCTCTTGATTTATTTTCTGAAGTAAATCAACTGACAACACTATACTGCTGGGAATTTTATATTTTCACAAAAAACTAAGCTGGCACTTAACACACAACCTAGCAGTCCCTGTCCTGAGTGTTTCCTATGGCAGGGTACAATTTGATGTTCCCTCACCAATCCTGCAACACAGTTATGGTAATGTGTGTGTGTTGAAATCTAGAAACACTACAAATGTCTTTCACAGATGGAGCAGGTATACAAACCACAAAATATCCATAAACTGACTATCAAAACACAGTATTTATTCCTGCATCTGGGTAAAACTCTAGAATTTGTGCTATGTGAGGATGCATCTTACAGGTGTCACAGCCCACACCCTGGGACTCACAGCTGTCCTGAATGACAAAGGTTGACTGGTCTCTTTTTTCTTTCTGGACAAGTTCCATGTCTAAGAGACTCAATGTCATGCTACATCCAAAAGCACCCTGATTTGTGTGCTGCTCTACCTCATGATCCAATCATCTGATATCTCACCCTGGACTGACCTGGTGCTGTTCACCCCTGTGGCTCTGTGAAATCCTGCAGCTGGCGGGTCAGCCCATGTCTCCAAGGATCCTGTCTGCTGCCACCCGCACTTCACCGTGCACTCCATAGTTTGGAGAGCACTTTGGGTGTGGGTTTCTCACTCTCTTATGCAAGAAGTTAATTCCTCTCAGCACATTCTTCAGATGCTGACTTAGTGCCTTCTTCCATCTTCTCATCCCCACCGGGAAACACTCTAAGCCAAGCTTCTGGAGTTGCAGGTAGAGATAAAGGTAGCCTCGCTGGCCCCACAGGCCTGGCTTTCTGTTGTTCAGAAGAGGTGGGCAGTAGCATCCTCCTCTTCCCTTGTCTCTCCCAGATGCCTGGGAAAGGGTTAGGGATCAGGTATCTCACAAACCCTGGTGCTGCCACAGATCCCAGCTCAGTCCAGGAGTGCAGCTGAATAGAAGCCTCTCTGCCTCTGTGAAGCAAATGCTCAGCACTTAGGATCAGGGCCCAGAGCTGATATCTTGACTCTTGAGTTGAGATCACTGCCAGATCACTGGTTAGGAGCAGCTGTTTGCTTGTCTTCTTGATCTGAAGTAATTAAAGTTGATTTCCTTGGAAGAAATCAAGCACAATTTGATTTCCCATTCAAGGTGATTTGGTTTTTCTTGCAATATATTCTTGAACTCTTGAAAAATATGTGATATAGACAGATATAGATTAAATATAGATACAGTATGGAAAACACCACAATGCCGGCAAAAATTGATAGGTAGAACAATGTAAGAGAATAAAAACCTGAGAAATAATCCCTCCCCTGTTCAGTTAAATCATTTTCAAGAGAAGCAGCAGAAGCACATATTTGACCTTTGGTGTTCTCTTCAGTAAATCATGCTAGGGTAAATGTGTGCCCCATGGTGAACCAAGAGATAAGAATCCTGTCTCTCATGATGTGCAAATTTACAATACATAATTAAACAGATACATTTTAAAGGTGAAATTTAAATAGCCGACCTGTGTGGCAGCTTCCTGAGCAGGATGTCTCTGTGTTTTCAGGTTTCCAGGCTGATGTGCAGCTGGTGGAGTCCAGGGAGGCTTGATGCAGCCTGGAGTGTCCCTGAGACTCTCCTGTGTGGCCTCTGGATTCATCTTCAGTGAGACTGGATGAGGTTGTTCTGCCAGGCTCGAGGGAAGAGGCTGGAGTGGGTTGGTGAATTAACCTGGGTGGTGGTAGCACACACTACCCAGACTCTGTGAGGGGCTGATTCACCATCTCTGCACATAATGCCAAGAACACAATGTATCTGCAAATGAGCAGCCTGAGAAACTAGGACACAGCCCTGTATTACTGTGCAACACACAGTGAGGGGACATCAGTCTGAGCCCAGACCCAAACTTCTCTGCAGGGGCACTCAGAACCAACAGGAGGTGCTTGGGATGCACTGAGCAGGCTCAGCAGAGGAACAGGTGCAGAGGGACATGCAGGGCTCTCTCCTGTCATGCTTGGGCTTTGTCTCTAAAATATTCTTCCTGAATCATTTTTTCTGTCCTGATCTCAGGCCTTTCACTGTACTCTCTATGCAGAAGCATATACTTGTAATAAGCTGACACATCCTTATGTGCACTAAATGTGTGCTGTCCCTGATGGGGGAGAAAGGATTTTCTCCTGGGCTCCAGGATCAGATCCTGAGGAAGCTCACAGGAACCTGTTGCTCAGGACATGGACCTCAGTGGATTTCCTGGTTGACACAGTTGGAGATTCAGGTTAGAGAAAATGTGTAACCTGGGTCCTGAGTCATTGATAAATAAAATCACAGAGCCTTCAAATCCTTCTCTTTCTCTGTATAAACATCAGGCTCAGGACAGCTCCGGGCATCTCTCTTTCTGCTGATCCATGGTTTTGTGCCTAAGCCTTAACTTACTTACTTTCTTTCTTTCTTTCTTTCTTTCTTTCTTTCTTTCTTTCTTTCTTTCCTTTCACATTAATCGTCCTTGAAATGAGGTTTTCATGTCTGTCTTCTAAATCCCAGGGGTAATTCAGTCACATTTATCTCATTTGTGGCCAAGGATGTGGATCCTGTAGGCTCCTGCAGAGCCTTGGTTGGTGACTCTGTCACCATGCTGGGGACACCCCCAGTTTCTCCTGTGCATTGTCTTATTTTTGAAATGAAAGATGACTTTAAAGATCAAGGAGATGAGACTAACCAGTCACAATGTGATGTGGATTTGGATGAAATCTTGAACAGCTCAAGCAACCATTGAGTCCCTTAGGGGCTACATGAGATGGAATGCTTCAGTGTGCTGAGAAGTCTCAGGATGGTGTGCAGGTCTTCATGAGCTGTGACCTTCTGCCTGCAGCATGGCAACTCACATAGTGTAATTAAATCCCTGAAGCACAAAGGCCTGCCACTCTCTCAGTGTCCCCTGCTTCACTCTGCATGGCTGCCCTGACTGTCCTCTCCAATGTTTCCCTCCTTTTTGTAAAGAGAAAAATGATGCCTCCATTTTTCCATCTCACTCAGTATTATCAGGAAGGAACATAGGCACTGGTTCTCCAGGCCTCTGCAGATTTAAGAGCCACACACGATGGATCGAAACCTGCTCTAATTAGAGCTCCCTGGCTGAAGCATAAATCTCACCATAAACACCCTCCACACTGACCCTTCAGGGACCCCCAGAGAGGCCCCAGGCTGGCCACACACATTCATCACAGTCCTGTACTCTAGGACACAGCCTGCTCTCTGGGACCAGGAGCTGTCTCAGGCTCACTCTAGGGCTGGTCACAGACATTTCCCAATCATGTTCACTCTGCTGAGCAGGGCATGGACAGTAGTGTTCCTTGCTCCTCAGTACAGGTACGGAGGCTCCCTCAGCCTTTGTGTAGTTCCCCAAGGGAAATCACTAGAGATTTCCTATCACAACACAGCACATATCCTACATGGTTCCCGCAAACAAGGGCAGGACTCAAGGTCCCTCATTAATTGTATCTGCATTGCTCTGAACTGGATATGGCAATGGCATTGTAAGTGTTCTTCATGTTGTTCTAGAAGGAAACATCAAAAAAATTTCATCAATATTTACTGAAAAATGTCAAGCCCTGACCACTTCACTTTTGTTCTGTTGTTATGTGAATCTTAATAGCGAGAATCTTGTCCCCGAAGCTCTTGGATGTGATGAGTTTTGTTATTATTGTTGGCAAGGAATTCATTAACTGGATCTCATCTCTCCATCCTTGCAGACAAATAAATACATTTTCAGGTTTATCATGAATA